TTTTTTTTTTTGTTTTGCTTTGTTTTGTTTTTTGAATGTCCAGAGGACCAGATTTAACTTTTTTTTAGATTTGAGAAGAGCACTTTGTACTTTTACTTAAGTATTTTTATAACACCAATATATTTACTTGTAATTGAGTACAATTTAAACAGTGTAACCGTACTTGTACTTGAGTACAAATTTTCAGTACTCTTTCCACCTCTGATTTTTAGTTAATGTTTTTCTTAGTTCATATCTTAGATCTTATTACTGTTTTTCTTTAACATTTTATATTTTTGTTGGATGTAACTGGGACCCTGTGTACACAGTTTTGTTCCACCACATGTACCGCATGTGATGCGTATGACAAAAAGAAACTCTGACTTTGATTATTTAAGAGTTAACATCGGAGCTTGATTATCTAGTTACGGTTCTTAAAGATTGCTATTGTGGACAGTTTGTGACAGTCAGAAAGAAAAATGGTCATCTTCCTCCACACTTAAATCTATGAATCTGTCTGCTACAGTAACGTGAAAAGCTGCCATTTCTTTTCTTCAAAGAAACTGCCTACAGCTAGTAGACTGACATTTGTCAAAACAAGCAAAAACCCTCTTTAACACATGTACGCACAGGTTGTGATATAAGCAGGCATATACTCAGACTTATGCTTCGTACTCATAAGCCCCCAATGCACATGAACTAACTCAGGTTTCCTATGAACACAAGCGTTCATGTTAAACTGTTTTTTGTAGTGCTTGCAGCAAATGAATAAGCGACTCTTATAGGCTTTTTAAAAGTGCTCCTGAGAGCTGCCCCCACTGGGCCCAGAGGATGAGAGCTTAAGGTTAAAAAGCCTATTTAAATTTCAGAGCGAGCCACACACTCAAAGCTAACAGCTAGCAGTCCCTGTAGCTTTGCTCTATGATGTATAAGTGCTTCTAAGCTTTTGCAGATGTAAAGAAAAAAGAGACGAGAGCAGACAGAGCCAGCAGCAGGGGTGACCACCTGTGGTGCGGTCACAGAATGGCACGCACGACTCTGGGTGTCAGCCAGTGCTTCAGGTGCCAATACAGAAACCCCATGAAGCATGAAGAGTGGTTCGTTGCAAGTGTGCAAGAACGTGTGAGGTTTCAGTATCAGTGTGAGCGTCGCATTTCGATGCAGAAGATTACAGTAGCTCGGTGCCTGTTGTTACAGAGGAAAAAGGTACAACAGGGCAGATTGTTGTGTTTTTTGGTGTGGGTTGCAGTGAAGAGAAGCTTTAGGCACATGAGCATATGCTTGTGAGCGTGTGTGTGCGTCTCTGTATCTCCCCTCCACAAAAGTGTGCCTCTCTCAATGGGGAATGGTGCTGTAGGTGGTTGGAGGAGTGGGTGGGGTCAGGGTGCAGCCATGTAGCCAGGTGTGTGTTGGAGCTGGAGGCTGGATGGCTGCCTGTAGTACCTTGTTAGTCACAGTGTTGATTGCCAGCGTTGGAGAGGCACTTGCAGGGATCATACAGTCCATCCCCAAAGACTCAGAATCCAGGCTGTATGGCGTGGAAGCCTGTGGAGGTTGGTGGGGTAGGGTGTGGAGGCAGAGAAAAAAAATAAAAATAAAAATCAACCATGTCCAATTATTACAAACACACAATCTCACTATTGCAGGTTGAACAAAACAACCAATGTTAAGGTAGTAACAAATGTAATGGCAAAACAACCTGGAACCATTTTCATATGCAAGAGCTGCACCTTTATTTAGGTCAGGCTTGAACTGTGTTTTCTGAAAAGATGGAGACACGCCCCTGCTACACACTTTTACCTCCCTTGTCAGACAGACACAAACACACACACACAAACACACGCACGCACGTCCTGGTGTTGCAGTAAAGGCACACTGTTGTTGAGAGATAACTCTGCCATGCCTGTCTCCACAAAGTGCTTACTGTAAGAGGATTGGATGCCAACAATACCAATTTTTTAATTCACGATAAACATAAACGTGATTTTAAAAAAAAACTCTCAATTTCAGTATCTTGGGCTCTTAATGGAATGCCTTTTGGGCAAACAGTATCAGAGTGGGGGAGGGGTCATGCACAGAGCATGTGTACAACAGAAAACACACTCTTTGCTCTGTGTCGTCTTTTGTTTAACACAACTTACTGATGGCAGAAGTCCCTGCTAAAAACAATTCTATAATATTGCTGTATTATGACATGGTGAACAACATTTTAAAGTTTTATATCGTCTCTGTAGTATTGTACGTGCATAGAAAAAACAAAGTGTGAGCCTCCTTTATTGGTTTAAAAGAATCTAGTCTTCATCCAGGAAGAGGCCAGTTAAACCTGTACAGCTTTAGATAACTGTAGACAAATGTCACACAAAACTTAAGCTCCTACTCAGAGTAACCAGTGCAATAATTGATAATTGCCTAAAACAAAATTAACAAGTATGCAAAACGTTTTAATGTATGCTCAGTAATGGTTGACAAGGGTATTGTTTAAACATAAAGAGACCACTTCATGAGCAGATAGCTGGGAGAGGCAATTAGATAAAGTCTGGATATAAACTCATCTTGTCACTGGAAGCGTCTCTGTTAGACTGCATGTGGCACAGATATAAAACTGGAAAAGTGCAGGAGGAAAGAAGAACCAAAAGATAAGAAATCTCAGGCAATAAATAAAAAGTAAAAGCCTGGAGAAATACTTCAAAAAGCAGAGATAACATCTGGAAAAGAAAAAAACAAACTAAACTAAAAACAGTAAGTGTAGAAAGGAGTTCTTGGGTTGTGCAAAATCTCACCCGCTCTCCAGACCGAGGCCTTTTTTTCGGCCGGGTAGGCAAGGCATCCTCTTTTGGGTTGGTGTCAATAGCCCAATAGGATCCCTGCAGACAAACAAAACACCTAATTAGATGAATAAACATACAGTAACTTTGTATGAATGAAGCATGAAATCATACAAAAAATGAAAAATAAATAAAAAAATCGTCTAAACAAAAATAGACTTTTCTTCCTTGACATTCAGAACACCAGATCTTTCTCTGCAAAAGTCTATCCTATCAGTCTAAACTTTTATTGGAGATGAAAGCTGACTGTTTAGAGTTTGTGGGGTGTGTGGGTGGGCTTTGATACTAAAGGTTCAGCATTCTTCCTCTGTGGTGACTCCTAAATGAGTCTGGTGAGGGCAGCTGCGGAGGTGAAATGCTAAGCCTTTCCTGAAGATGTACTTTCTTAGCCTCAGGTACTGAAATCACTTCAAGTGCTCTTGCCAAGGATGAAGGATCAAATATCTCAGTCCAGAAATCGAGGCAGCGCTAGCCTTGCTGTGATGCTCTTTTCTAAAGTCTGAGCAAGGCTAATAGAGGAGAATCCAGTTGGGGCTGCAGGTAATTCTACAACCGAGCTGCAAAATTTACATTTGCATTTAGTCCCATTTATTTTATTTTCAATGGTTCTACTCCTAAAAGCTAACAGGAGTATCACTTAAAATTGTTAAAAAAAAAACCCTACAAATCTGCAGGTTTCGATTACATTTTTCTTATTTTATATGGCAACTGATAAAATCTCAATTGGGAAAGAAGTACAATCGGCACCTTTAATATAACCTTTATTGCAAAGATAAAATATATATATTTACAGGATAAATTGTACAAACCAGATTCCAAAAAAGTTGGGACACTAAAATTGTGAATAAAAACTGAATGCAATGATGTGGAGATGGCAAATATCAATATTTTATTCGTAACATATAATAGATGACAGATCAAAAGTTTAATCTGACTAAATGTAACATTTTAAAAGGAAAAATATGTTGATTCAAAATTTCCCAGTGTCAACAAATCCCAAAAAAGTTGGGACAAGTAGCAATAAGTGGCTGGCAAAAGGAAATTGAGCATATAATGAACAGCTGGAAGACCAATTAACACTAATTAGGTCAATTGACAACATGATTGGGTATAAAAAGAGCTTCTCAGAGTGTCAGTGTCTCTCAGAAGCCAAGATGGTAAGAGGATCACCAATTCCACCATTGTTGCACAGATAGATAGCACAGCAATACCAGAATGGTGTTACCCAGAGTAAAATAGCAAAGACTTTTAAGTTATCATCATCAACCGTGCATAACAACATCAAAATTGTGGGTGGGGTAGGTGAAACACCCACACTTGCCCCCACCCTCATTCGCCCCACTCTGGGCCCATGAGCAAGGCCCTTAACCCCCACCATGTGCTCCCTAAACAGGTCTCTCTTGAAAATGAGTTCTCGTGGCTCAATGAGACTAACCTGTATAAATAAAGGCTAAATGAAAAAAAAATAACATCATCAAAAGATTCAGTGAATATGGAACAATCGCTGTGCGTAAGGGTCAAGGCCATAAAACTCTACTGGATGCTCGTGATCTCCGGGCCCTTAAACGTCACTGCACCTCAAACAGGAATGCCACTGTCAAGGAAATAACAGAATGGACTCAGGAATAATTCCTGAAAGCATTGTCAGTGAACACAATCCATCGGGCCATCCGCCGTTGCCAGTTGAAACTCTACAGTGCAAAGAGGAAGCCATTTCTAAGCAAGCTCCACAAGCTCAGCCATTTGCACTGGGCCAGGGGTCATTTAAAATGGAGTGTGGCAAAATGGAAGACTGTTCTGTGGTCAGATGAGTCACGATTTGAAGTTCTTTATGGAACACTGGGACGCCATGTCATCTGGACCAAAGAGGACAAGGATAGCCCAAGTTGTTATCAACGCTCCGTTCAGAAGCCTGCATCACTGATGGTATGGGGTTGCATGAGTGCTTGTGGCATGGGCAGCTTGCATGTCTGGAAAGGCACCATTAATGCAGAGAACTATGTTCAGGTTCTAGAACAACATATGCTCCCATCTAGACGTCATCTCTTTCAGGGAAGACCCTGCATTTTTCAACACGATAATGCCAGACCACATTCTGCAGCAATCACAACATCATGGCTACGTAGGAGAAGGGTCCGGGTACTGAAATGGCCAGACTGCAGTCCCGATCTTTCACCTATAGAGAACATTTGGCGCATCATAAAGAGGAAGGTGCGACAAAGAAGGCCCAAGATGATTGAACAGTTAGAGGCCTGTATTAGACATGAGTGGGAGAGCATTCCTATTTCTAAACTTGAGAAACTGGTCTCCTCTGTCCCCAGACGTCTGGTGAGTGTTGTAAGAAGAAGGGGGGATGCCACACAGTGGTAAAAATGGACTTGTCTCAACTTTTTTGGGATTAGTTGACGCCATGAAATTTGGAAACAACAGATTTTTCTCTTAAAATGATACATTCTCTCAGTTTAAACTTTTGATCTGTGATTTGTGTTCTATTCTGAATAAAATATTAGATGTTGGCACCTCCACATCATTGCATTCAGTTTTTATTCACAATTTGTTTAGTGTCCCAACTTTTTTGGAATATGGTTTGTATAAACATTCAGACAGGACATAGAAAAAGCTTGCTTTGCAAAAACTGCAGCAAACACAAAGGTTTGCTATTGTGTAAAACTGGTCAGTCTGTTGTTTTTACATTTTACACAGACTGCTGCTACCACCATGGTTTCCATACATTTATAAGGAAATTAAAATTATATATTAGAAGACTTTGTGGTCAATTAATGTTCATCTCAAAAGAAAAAAAATTCAGTACAATAAAAATTGACGCTATATGCTCATATAATGTATGTTGCAGATAAAGGATTTAAAGAATTCACAAAAATTATAAATGAAACTATGAGAAATATATATATATATATATATATTTTTTTTTTTTTTTCTTAAAGTGCACAAAATAAACACGAGTAGAAATAAATGTTTCTAAATATTGTGTCACACAGACAAAGCCAGGCTGGTTGGAGTTTTGTTTAATTGAGACTAAGAAGACCAAGTTTACTCTCGAGGGAAGGGAGTTTCTGTTTCTCTATTCTCAACCCAAGAGAGTTGGCAGTCGAAAAGAAAAAAAATATAAAGAGTCATTAAATTATTCACAAAGACGGCAATATTCTGAAGCAATGCCAAGTCAAGTGTATCCATAGAGTCTGGGGCAAAAACCAGAGCTAAGCCACATTATTCTCTGCAGTCACAAAACAAAGGCCACTATAAAGACCTTAAAAAAGGATACTAATAACAGATGTGAACTGCCTCTTCTGTTCCCATAAATGGCACAGATCATTTTCATAGATTAACATAAATTACATCATCTGCTTCCTCTTTTTAATGTAAATTCAGGAAAGAAAAAAACGACCATATCGAGACATAGGGCATGTTAAAAATGGAGATTATTACCGGTAACTTTCATACGCTGCATTTCTTACCTTCAAGGTGGTGAAGGTGTGCATCTGTTTAATACTGACTGTCATCTCTTACACGATCTCAGAGAGAGACAGACAGAGCGACATGACTCTCATATCTCTTGCAACCAGCAGTTCTCATATTCCTGCCACATTACAATATTGATGCAACATATCAAGACCGGCTAGCTGCGCTTTGAAGTTGTCTTCGGGGGAGCAGGGGGGAGTGAGGAAAATTCCAAATTAAACATTAAGGATGCAAGCATGTTGGCCATGCATTTGGAATGGGATCCATACAGCAATAGATTATTTTGTATTTAGTGGAGCAGCTCCCAGGAGTGTCAATATCAGAGGATTACAGCAAAACATGAAATTAGCATTCAGTCCCCATCGTCTACACAGCCTGGCATAGCTCTTCATACGTGTGTGTGTGTGTTGTTCCCTGAGCGTACATACAGTGTGCTCTGACAGTGCAGGGATGATATCTAGGTTAGGCTACATATGATTGGGCCTATGCACGCCATCATGGTAAATATAGACCTATAATTTCCCTCCTCCTGAGCAACACGGCCCATCAGAGAAGCATCTCATCAGGTTGATGTTGCTTAAGATTGTAAAGTAAATAGGCTGAAATAGCAAACTAAAATTCAAATGTCAAATTAACATGAGGTTGTTTTTTTGTTTTTTAATAAGTGGATGAGGAAGCAACAAATGTAATCTTAAATGTTTTGGGGATAACAGATACTGGAAATGCCCTGGTTTTCAACACCAGTCTAACTTGACTCTTCTTGATCTTAATTTTACTGTCAGCGTTGAGAGAGAAAAAAAAACTATTTATCCCCCCCCTTTATCCATTTATGCGAGAGTGGGAAGCTCATAAAAGATAAGGTGCATTCTGTCCATTTCCAGACTGTCAGAGCCCTGGTAGCCATTCAAAGACAACATTTTTCTACCAGGGAGAGCATGACACGCACACCCCAAAAATGTTTCAACTGTGAATTCTGCCAGAGTACTGTACTCACTTGAAATTTATCACATTTAGTTATTTCAAAATACATTTTTCAATTTTTTTTTAATTGTGTATATATATATATATATATATATATATATATAT